ATAGCATTTGCTAAGCCAACGGTGAATATGTGTGGTCTGCAGAATTAATAATACTTCAAACGCCAAAGCCGACGCTTCCGACTATTCACGCTTAAGCTGCCCCACGAGGTAGTTCTTTGATAGAATCTTGCTTCTGCCACTGTCGAGTTATAAAGCGTGATTGTGACAACATGGCACATGTCTCGATACTTATCCTGCATTAGTAATTAAAATCCGACGGCATAAAGTAATCACAAGTTTAAACTTCGACATTTTTCCTTCTCTAAACGGATAGTAGTGAATGCAGGCAGACATTAACGATATAGCAAAAAAAACTATAGAACGGTGTTGAATTAAGTGGTCCCAAGGTAATTGAGGTAAATAGAAGGCGAACGTTAGAGGAAAAGGAGCTTCAGGCACCCCAATGTGTGGACCAGAGTCCACAATTACGCCTTCAACGATTTGCAACAATAACACACCTACGAGCGCCCGTTGCAACTGCGGTAAACAATACACAGTTATGGAACCGCAAGATAATTCTTAATTTTGATGGAATTACTAGGTTCCTTCAGAGATCGTTAGCAGATAACAAGTTAGTATATTTTCTGCGACGTATGCTATTCCCCTTACTAGAAGAGACTAGGACTGATGGTCGCCTCCCGTCACGTGAACTGCACAAATGAACCCAAGTTATTGGCTACTTTGACAATTAGAAGGAAGGAAATACACCTTGCTTTTAGAAAGGAGAAGCTACAATTGGTTCCATGATTCGATAAGGCTCGCATTCAAAACTTCAGAATGGCCGTATTTCCGAGTCCGGAATATTATGAGCGCAAACTAACAGTATATGACTATGTAGAACGTAAAACTATGCATCTCCTCCAAGTTGGAGGAAGTGTTGACAAGCTAGTAAAACATTATACAGAGTTTAAGCGGATTTAGAGTAGAACTGTGTAAACGGCCCTCTTTAGCGGGAGTTGTTGGCGAGTCCTGCGAGGTCAGTGGGTGTCAAGTTGACATCTACATCATACTTGAGTATAGATTCCTGCGGCCCTCGCTCGGCGAGAGTGAATGTGTGCGGTCTGTATAAATTAATGAACACTGAAAACGGCAGGGAAATCCACCCCTTCTTACAATCGAAAGCTTAGGCCGCATTCACGGCGCGCAAGTTGAAACATCACGCGTTTAATTAGCCCGACACAGTTGCAATAATTCCGCTCCAGGTTTTTGCAGCCCCCGCATTAGTCGCATGAATAACAATGCGCCAAAGTAGCACCCTCATCTTATCAGAAGCGATGCGCCCCCATTTTATCAGCGGTGGGATTTTTTAGGCGAAATAATATTTGAAACGGGTTTAACGGGTGCCATTTTAAACATCAGATGCCTCCCAACTTTAGTGTTGTTTTTACGGTACACGGTATTCATCTCCGGCATCTCTGTGTAAATTAATACGTAGCAAATAATAATAACGTCTAACATCCACCCGTAATGGATTCGAGCGAGGGGCTTAATCTCCGGGGCGACATAAGTCCGGACCTGTGCAGAAGAACACGATAACGCGTCATCATAAACTACGCTTTTACTGGCGGAAATGTGCCTTGCTAGGCCTTCAAACTAAGAATGCCTCGCGCTAAGAGGCTGATACACTCCGCTTTAAAGCATTCCTTAATTACGGATTTTAAAACTTATCTTGGAAAGCCCTCCACACTCAGATTTGCCTCGAATCGGTTTTACCATATCCGCTAAAAACCAATGGGACTCGGAAACATTCAACTGCTTTTTTAACTAAACGCACTTCCAGCGCATAAATTTTTAAGCAAATGGTACACACAACACACATAAATTTCCAGACTGCTTTCCACTCGTCAAAATACGGCCAATTTTAACTTCACCGGGCCCTTTCCTTACACACTCTATTCACTACACACACCCGCGGCCGCAACTACATTATTAGCAACACATAAAATATGAATCATTATATTCGCCCGTTTTGCTAATGAAAAGCTTTGCTGCCGTTTCATTTCATAGCACGTCGAGTTTACTAACGCAGCCATTTGTGACGTATGAAACACACAAAAATTTACAAATTAACCCTATATTGTTAATCAAAACTGGACCAGTAAGAGGCGCTGGAACTATATTGAACGCGGAATACGTTCTTTTGTTATATCTGAACAGATAAATAGATGTCTTTTGTCTACTCCGAAGAAAGCCGCTCTAATTTTTACAACTTCGCATCCTGGTCACGGCACCACTGCGACTCACTCTAAATTTCAAAAAGCATTTTTTAGAGAAATTTAATTAGAAAACGCGACACTTTTTCTGTCCGACGATGAAAAGCATACTTAGTTGTAGAATACCTAACCAAACGTCAGCCAAATTAATATTGTTAAATTAATAATAATTTAGATCCCCCCCCCCCCCCCCAAATCATGGACAATTTTTTTCGCTAGTATTTGTGATGGGTTAATCTGTTCGTAAGTGTAAAATAAATGTTACCATATTCTACTTAAACAGATTTTTCTAATTGTCTTTGTGCAATAAAGCATCAATACGGAAGCAAATTGCGAACATAAGTTTTTTTTAACACCTACTTTAACTACGCATATGAGTTTCATTGTTACGAAAGTCGATGTTTATGTATATTTTCGCTTGCAGTTAAGTGTCAAAAAGTGAGGCGACGGTACATGACTTCATAATGAAGTAAACGGATTTGAGAGCGGACAAAGTTGTTAAAGCTGCACGGTACGCAAGTTTAAGCGTGCGCGAGTGATAATTCTTCACATTCAAAAGTTGTAAATAGTGAATGTCAGTTTATATTTACGTGCATTAAAATATAATGGATGAAATGTCAGTCAAAGTATGCATACATTTCATTGGCGGTGAATCAAAATGTAAAGTTTAAGAGAAATGCTGAAAATTGGGAATATCTTGGTCGTTGGTGGAAAGTTGGAGATATTCGGGTCGGCCTATTAATTTTTAAGACAGTGATCCCGTTTTATACGGTCGGGTAATTTTGAAGTAGAAGTTATTTTAAAAAAGTGTGTGCGTAAAGCTGTCAAAAGTGGAAGTTGAATGTCAAGTGACAAATCTATTGGCTTTTAAAGGGTTAAGATGTCGTGTTTGTACTTCTGAAAAGTTTGTTTGTCCCAGATGAGAGAGGAAATATTCAGGATATAAGTTTTGAAAAGTTTGATATCTTCGAGTTTGTCTTGAAGTGATCAGTTCGAAATCGATAGCACCCTACTATCAATGAACGCACTTAACTTACGTACTTCGACAGCGCCTAATTGAGTTGGAGGAGCTAGCAGTGTGCAGTAACGCCACTAACTTTGCATACTTAAGCTTGTTATACTAGCGGGATTAAAGCGAGTCTTCTTTGTTATTAATAAGAAGACTCCCGTGCCATTGATTACTGAAGCAGAAACTAGAAAAGTCGTCTTATAAATACTCGTCTCGTCGCAGTTATTAACGCAACAATAGGTTGTAATTACGACAAACTTATTTTGCCAAGTAAACAGGTAAAGAGAATGATCGCAATTAGCCCCAAATTGTATTCTCGTAACCGAAAGTCACTCTTTTCTTAATTGTAATCAAAGAATTCGATCTTTTCCTAAACAGTCAGGTCAAATCCAAATTTACCCGAATTTATATTCAAAGGGACCACCTCTTCCATGTTATATGATCTCTATAGTTTGCAAGTCTGGTCAACGAGATCCGTTCGAGGTGTGGACCGCTGACACCCCCCAAAAGCAATACCCTCAACAAACACGAAACCGCTCCTACTCATCCACTAGATTGAAATCATCATGTCTATATTCGCCATTTTCCAAAACAAATAACGCAATATTAACAATAAAAATTCAATTTTATGCCGATTGGAAAAACATTTATCGCTTCATCAAAACCATAGTTCGGAACCTATTGAAACTCACGATACAATAATAACATCAAATATTATGGGTTTCAACTGCTGCAAAAAACCAAAATGTATTCCAATAAAACCTAATTGCATTGCAAGTTTTCAGGTAGCCATTCACTGAGCATTTGTCTCTTTACTCATTTAACTCCATACGACCATTCGACTCTCTCCACTGGCATTTCACCAATACCGCACTAATAATAACACGCGAACAAAATTGAAAGTTTCTCTTGAATGAATCCGCAGCTGTAATCGTTAATATCGGGACAAATTTTATCCCCCTTCAGTTAGAACCGCAACTTAATCTTCGTTCACGCGCTGCACGAAATTAAGTTATGACATTAGGTCAGGAATATGAGAGTTGTCTTCAACTTAGAACGGAATGTTCCCTCCAAAATGTTAAATGCTAGGGTTGCCCACGTTTCGTACCTCATTTTAATTCTAATATCAACCCTAATAAAGATTTGTTAGATTTTGTCGGACAAACGAACCAACTTTAACACTTCGCCAACTTCCACGTGATGGTCCCTCAGCCTACCGGAAGTTTTAACAACGCACTGACGAAAAAATGTTATTACAACGTTGAGCTATCTACACCAGAAAAGAATTTACTAATCTTTAGTAAAATCGTATCGACCTGCATACTGGTCACGGCACCACATAGACTTCTCCCAGTTCTTTCTAAACAAAAACAAGAACATAAGTATTACGATCGGGAGTATATGAATGGGTGGTCGATTGATCCAAGAACGCATGCAAAATAAAACAGAATCTAAAACTTTAAACATCGAACGAAAAAATTCTTAATAGAATACTTAATCAGCTTTGGGTTCGCTTCCTATGGCTTGTCTATGACTAATTTATTTGAAACGCATTTGAAAAAATGTGATACGCATAGTGCGCTTTTGTAAGAATTTCCTCTGACTTTCTGAATGCACACCCTGTCAATGTCAATGTCCGTTGTAACGCTGACGAAAAAATAAAAAGTATTGTGACAAAATGACCATTTAATCGATGAAATTTTTTGTGTCCGTGCCGGTTTGATCAATGTTCGGGATTAGTTGCGAATAAGTTATTTTTACTAATTAATCTTTTTCAGGGATTGCCGAGTTGTGAGAGATCCACAAACATTGAAATCAAAGGGATATGGGTTCGTTTCATTTATTAAAAAGGCGGTAAGTTTATTGATCTAGCAGTTACAAAATGCATGCTTGTTAGAAGTAAATTGTTTTTTTATTAATTGTTTAAGTGTCCGTTTTTCGAGTCGTAAAAATATTACGAGCGGTAGGAATATCTGGATTTATTATAAGCAAGAAAGAAATGAAGCAAAAGAGGATTGTTTAAAAATACATAAACCTCTACCTTAATGGTTGTTCGTGACTATATTTACGCTCCATAATCAGGGCCACACCTATACTGCATGCACAGCCAACTGGGAAATCAAAACACCTACCATAATTGTTGTTTTTTTTTATATTCTAATCTAACTTTGGCGACCGTCAGTTTCATGGACCCTTATAAATCTTTTTCTATAAATTTTTGATATGACAAAACACTGATTTATGGGTCGTTCGACGACGGCTCTACAAACTACTACCGAAGAAAATTACAGTTACTCATGCAGAACCAAATTGATACTCTGGTTATAAAACAAAAGCTTATACCGTGTGTTCGGTCGCAACGGATAAATAAATTTTATCTGCATAATAGTTTTTCCCATTTCCTTAAATGAAAAGGGATCAATAGACGAAAAATTAATAACAGTCTTTTTCAAAAAGACTTTTATGCAATATTCGCAGACAATGCAATTTTTGCGCAACAACAGTATGCGGTTCTCGTCATCGTGAAACTTTAATTATGCGACCCACACGCCCGCACATACAATACGTAAAAAGAGCAATAGACGCCGAAATTAGGAAAAAGGTTACGAGGAGTATGAGGAAGTGGTAAATGTCAATGCATATAAAAACAGTTGGAAAGGATAGTTTACGCGGGACATTTACCATGTAATGCGTGTGCAAACTCTGCATGAAGCATGAGTTGTGCGTAATTCTGGAAATCCAAGTGGTTTTTCGTATACCGCTGCTGGTGTAATTCTGGGTCTTAGCCGGTTTTACGGTCCGTGGTGGGAGTGTTGTCGTAATTGGTGAGGTCGTAAAGAAGTTGCTTTTGGATGGTTGAAGTAGTGGAATTTTTACATTTAGAGTGGAATGATTAGACTCGGCCGAATGGATGGGGGTTGATTAAGATTTTAATTCGGCGACATTGTAGACATTTTGTCCGGTCACAAGGCAGAAATTTTATGCGAATAAAGTGAATTTGTCGACAAACGACTTCTTGTGTTTTAGCTGTAGTGGCAAAGTACAGAGTGCGGAATGCCATCTTATATCGTTCCGCACAAAGACCTTACGCTGTGGGAAATGCTCGGAACGAGGGGGTTTACATTTCTACGTTATGGATCTCATTTCGGCCAAATGGCCGGTCATCTCGTTGGAGAGTTGTTGGGGTTGTATTGCGGCCATCGTACTTTGCATCTTTGCTCGAGCGTAGTGACAGTGATTCGACGGCACTATTGCTTCGTCGACCGCGTCATATATACACAGCTACGCCTTCGTTTCGAAAACATGCACCAGAAAGCATAACTTTCCAAAACCGCAAAAATCACAATAGAGCCGTGACTATTTTCAAAAGTAGATAATCACGTGTGTGAGGAGTGAGCGAAGCGCGTGACTACGCTGCGTATATTTTTTCCACGTACGACGTTATGCTGTCTCGGGCGATCGATTTCACAACAATCAGGCAAATGTCGACATAATTTCAAAGCTGTTGCATTATCGTCCATTAACAGCAAAAAGTACACTGCAGGATTCTCCTTTACCTAGAAACTTGAAAGGTCAGAGAAATAATAGCTATAACTGTTAAATCATTTTTCATTACTGCATTATGTCTGAAAAATTTTGTCATATTATCGATTAATAATAATTAGGGGAAAATTTCTAATTTCATTACAAAAGGAAAACGTACAATTGACTTCTTGATTACATGCAACGATATTTTAAAATGTGGGTGTCGATATAGGGACAGCTATGTGCAAAATTAAACGAACACAACAATGTAGAAAATTTATGGGTGCTTGAAACGAGGAAAGCTCAGATTCTACATCTAAATAAATATAATCATATTAGGCGACCCTATTTGGACTATTCAAGCTGCTACAGTTGATTGTGTAATCTCACTAATACAAAATTATATTGTCTCTTTATCCCCTTCGGAAAGTTTTAAAATAGCAGTTTTATTGTATGTCAAAAGCAAGAAACTTTTAATCTACAAAGCTCGATTACGTTTCTCTGACAATAGTTCACGTTTGAAAATGTAGAAACGAGTAAAAAATTGAATAACGTTCGAGCTTGGTGGAGAGTTTTTATCAAAAGACCGTTGCAGTATATATTGAATTAATTTTTCCAAAACACGGGATGAGTAGAAAAACGGTATTCCAAAAATAAAACAACGTAAACAAGCGAACAACAATGGAGAATAGTGTTTCTACGGCATTAATTATTATCGGCGGATTCAGCTTCCACGGTTAATTAATCTTATAGAGAAAAGAGGAGTGTTTTTCTTAGCCTGTTATTTTATCTCCATTGGCGTCGCGTTAGAGCACGGCACGAGCCGTCACTGCTACATTGCAAAATCCTAGAATCAACCAGCATCAGACAATGGAAACCTCTACACTTTATCAGATTGGCAAAGTTTCCTGTGCGACTGTATCCATTTATCCAGCAATTTTCAAATGACAGGATGCCATTGACACAATGAGTCGGTCTGATGCTTAATTAGCTTGAAACTTACATAAAGCGGCCAAGCTAGTCTGCTTCAACCAACTAGTTTGAGCTTGGCAGATTTTGCAACTTAATTGTGAGCACCTTACCTGCGAGCTCTAATTTCTCCAACCTCGAAGCCGTGCTTTAAAATATTTTAATAATGGATAGAGTTTTCGCGTTTATTAAACGGAAAGATGGTCTCGGGTTCTTCTTTGTAAATATTTCAATTAGTTGACGTCACGGCGTCGAGATCCGCCGAATATTTCATAACCTTTAACCGGATCTATTCCGAATCTGTTGATGCATGTAAATACAAATAAAAATAGTTCAACATGAGCAACCGCTGGAAAAATTTCGATTCAATATAAATAGAGGGCGAGGAGATTCATTCATTCTTCGGTTTTTCCATTCACTGAGACTTTGCCAGATATGAATCCATTCATACCTTGCATTTATTTGGAAATTCTTAGCCCATCACAAACCACTTGCTTTTTTCGTCGTTCGGAAAAAGCTATTTTTAAAATAACGACAATTTGGAAATTTTTGGTGAAAAATAGAGTTCACATCGGATTATCGCATTAAGTTTGAGGTCACAATAGGTGAAAGAAAAAATATCATGAGGCTATTAAGACTGTAGAGAACCAGGAGCGTGTATAAGCTCGCTCTTTAGAATTCCCTTTTAACGTTCTGTGGTTGAACGTAGCTAAGTCAGTCGACAGAAACAGAGGGTTGGATGGCACACGTTAACTGTATGTAGCCCTCGCCTGAGGCTTTCCGTAATGTAACTAAGGGATGGATGGTAATTAGAAAGACTGCAGTTTCGAAGATCTAGCATTAAGAAATATGTCAGAATGCCTCCAGCTGCGTATTGTTACTTCCTAGAACAAACAAGTACAACAGTTGAAACTCTATAGCACCATGACATACTTTTATGTTATCATTATATTTCCGCAGTTACACTCGATTTGCTACTTGCATTACCTTTATTCTCGTATTACAACTAAATTAGTACGAACAACGAAACTTGGAGCAAAATTGCACATATAGTTTTCCAAATGCTGTAACGAAACACGTCTTGTTTTTTATAGTGGCGGATATATTAAACTTTTCCCTTCTTTTTATCTTTTTATTTATATTGTAACTAGTCACCGGCTTTACCCCTGCGCGCCTTCATCACAACGTTTTCGCTGAGAATGCATTGTTCACAATTTTCTTCCATAAGTAAATTCGGAAAATATTGGTAACAGAAATTATTCAAAATCCGTTTGAGGTTTTGTGTAGCTTAATCAGAAATTTTGTTCAAAACTACAGAGCACTGGGATTTTATGAACTTTTCAGACTTGTATTAAATTATGCATTGTTTAATACTTTAAATTCTTTCAACAAACTGTTGAAAAGTTCACTTCGCTGAACTAGATTTCACTTAAGTAAATAAGAATTGATGGCTTTATTTAGACACTCTTAATATAAATCGTTAGGTAGACATATTAATAAAACGTTAATTTAACTCTTTATAGCAATCAAAAGGTTACGAGGTTTTATATAATTGTATTTTAGTGTTTGCCACAATAAAACCAAAAAGCCCACAACCGAGCTTTCATAACTTCCTCGAAGTTTAAAATTCAATAAAATCCTCATTTAATAAAGTTACTCTATTGGTGCTTTAATTAAAATTCAATCAACATTGTGCATGCTACAATTACATTATAACTATACATCAGACTCGGGGAAAAGTAGATATAGCACCATTAGCCAAAACGAATATTAAATATCTCTTCAAACAATATTTTCCAATTATTTTTACAGATTCAATTATAACGAATTTTGAATACGCACAAGACAAAGTTGAAAATACCATGGCATTTTCGTTCAAAATCGATACAAAATTTATTTAGAAATTCGTAAATTATTTACTTTGTTACGTATTCGCTGCAATTGAGCATTCATTTTGTTTGAATTCTAAATTAAAGATTTCATTAGCAGCACATAAATATGATTTTGAGTTAATTAAAAAGTTGCCTTTTTGTCTCTTTTTAATTATCGACTGGTCGAGGCCTCCGGGCGCAGTTGTTTATAGAAAAATATGCATTAATGTTATAAATTACACATTAATAATGATAAATGAAATGATTAACTTCCGAACGCTCTCGATAGCTATTTTAATTACTATTTAGATTATTTTCAGTAAAATCCCGATTTAAATCAGCAAATAATGTTAAATTGTAACTATGCGATAAATCAATCAAAAATCTGTGTGTTGTTTTCAATTAGCGCAAAATATGTGGGTGAAAATAACTTTACTAATTTTTACTCCCGATACAACAATTAGAGAAAAATAGCTGACACGAAATTAT